CTTTTCGCCTACTCCTTGACGGAGGCTTTTGCTCTTGCGGTTCTTAGCCATTGCTACTAAGATAATTGCAAGATGATTTTGGTTAGAAACTTGGCTTAAAGATTTTTGAAAGTCTTCCCCACAGACGGCGCCAAATTGTTTCGGGTGAAAACAATGGGACCTTGTCGAAGGTCCGATGAAGTGGAGAAGACTGGATTCGGTCCAAGTGATGTTGGGCCGAAGGTTTCCTGCATAGTAAACACACGTAAACTAGCCTCGGGGGTGTTACCGAGGAAGGCCCCTCCGATGCTAAAGTCAGTACAGTGTGTAGAAAGAGAACATTATGCAAGAGAATTAATTGCTTGAGGCTTTGTTGAATAAATGTACAAATGTAATATTTATGGCTCTTATACCTTTGCATATATGGAGAAGTTGGGCCTTAGCCCAATTGACTTGCCATGAGGACTGATCTTTGACTTTAGCACAGCTGGAGAGATGAACCTTGACCTTGGGCTTTTAATTGGATCATTTAATGACTAGGCCCAATTGGACTAAATTGGACCCAAACAATAGGTATAAGTACAATAAAATACATATGCATATGTTGATAAAATCACTTATGTACATAAAGTGAATGATTATACCTTTATACGTAGTAAGATTAACGTAACAAGAGAAAATTACACATGTTCCAAGAACTCAATTAACCCAACATAATACTAGTTCATTTGGGGGGTAAAAATTGCATGACCAACAATAGTGAAATAGTAAAATTAGAGTTGCAGAAGAGGGGTAAAAAAAGTAAAACTGAAAATGGTAAGCGGCGGAGAAAAGTAGAAGTAATAGGACCACCTTCTTTTTATGAGACAAATTTTAAAGGATCTTTTGTAATGGGAGGGAAAAGATACATATACTTCCACCTAAATTCCCACTCATATGTTTACCTCTTAAGTATTTCATATTATTGGGTCGTTTTGCTTTGGTCATAATCTATAATTTGTATGTCATCATAAGTCATAACTATTGTTAAAATTTACTATTAGAGTATTATTATTAGTCAATAATGTTCATTTTTTTTTTAGTGTTTGGAGAGCCACAAGGGCAGAGGTGAGAATCGATCACAAAGATCTCTTGAAACCGAGAGGGAAGCTTTAACCACTTGAGCTATCCCTCACTCTCAGTCAATAATGTTCATGATTATGCATAAGGGTATATAAAAAATTGGAAGTTAATTACTGCATTTCAAATCTTAGCACACATGGTAAATAACATTAAGATCTTGTTCTTTTAGACTGAACTGAATATAGCCAAGTCAAACTAAATACAACTAAAATTTATATAAGTGCAAAAGAATAGGGCCTAATTCAATTTCTAAAAGGTTTTCAAAATTGATTAAGGTTTTTTTTCCTTCTCAAACATATTCATGATTTAATTAGTTGTACACTTGTACTACTTATTATTAATAATGTCATTTATTTTGTGTGAAGTATGGATAAAGAATAAATGTCTCATCATCCATATTCTACACAAAAGGATATATATACTTCTTTGTATTTCAATAAATGTTAAACTCCAATTGCCTTCACAATTATCTTTTTGCTTCAACTGATTCAACCTAATACCTAATGTAAAATTTACACTACAAAAGAAGTCAAACTATTCTAGGAAAAGGACATGTCAAGCAATGGCGCATTTATAGAAATAGAAATTTAGTATTCTATCAAATAAAATAATGTTTAATAGAAAAAATAAAGAAGGATCCTGGTTGTTCAAAAACAAAAGAAATTATTAAAGATTATTTGACTCAATCCTAAGTCTTTACAATACAATTAATCCACTGTCCACATATAATTTTCATGATAAATGACAAAAAAATTGCTTACTCAATCGGTCAATCATTTTACATGCATGTTGAGACGTAACTAAGATAAGAATAATCTAAGATACGTTGCTTGGGGAAAGGGGGTATGGTAAGTGCAACAATCCACTAGTAGTACTACATTGTTATGTTGTTATGCTCTAAACACTCCTCGTGAACTCCATCCAATCACCATCATTTGTGTGTTGATACAAACATATCTTCCAAAGTAATGTGATTGGAAAACTTATCATTATGTACCTACAAAAATAGGCTAATATACACTTTATATTTCATTTTTTTTAATGGTACTATATATACATGAGTAAAATACAACTAATTATTACATGAACTAGTTTTTATCTTTAAAATGAACTAGTTTTTTTCTTTAAATAACACGTAGTTTAACCTTAGTAATATGTCTGGACTTAATTTTAAAACGGTGCTCAAGAAACTAGAAGAGAACAATTTTATAGATTAACAAAGTAAATATATTTTGACAAAAATAAATACATTTATGAAATTAGCTAGCTATAATCATTGTTATATGAACTTTTCTTTTCACCTCAAGTACCCCTTATCAAATCCTCGAAATTCGAAATTGGGTATGACATTTGGAAACTTCATTTTAAACACAAAATTATGGATTTTTTTTCCACATAATAACCGAGTTTTGGACACTTGAACACATACATGTGTCGAACAAGAATGCTCGATTTTATGTATATATATATATTTAGGTAATAATCTTATAAGTATTTAGAAAGAGCAAAGTAATTAGGTTAAAGAAAAACAAAAAAAGATGATGCGGTCCCATGCAACAATGGGAAACTAGAGAGAGGGAGGGATGGGTGGGAGTACTTTAATAAGGAGATGGCCGGTTTTAATTGAAATTAGTTGGAAATTTTGGACCACTTCATCTCATCTCCTCTACAACCTCTTATTTTGGGAACCCCCTTTTTTTTTCTTCCAAAAAACATTTATTTTATGACTGTGTTTGACATTATGAATTTCTGAACAAAATTCACAGGAATCCCTTAAACAGAGCTGAGAGATGTTGATGATAAACCTGAAAAAAGACTGTTTGTACGAGTTGATAGGATAGTGATAACTTGACTTACGGGGATTTGTGCACCCATTTTCTCAATACTAAAACCTTGGAGTTACTTTTTAGATTTTGGATCCGAGTAAACTCTTTTGATTGGATATGAGTCCATGTAATATTTTATTTTGGCAAAAGCTAATGAGTGTCTCGGGGCGTTAGATGAGAGAATTAAAGTGCAAATATTAGAGTAAAATTAACATTAATTATTCCGAACGACGCGTGATTTTGTCATGAATTCCTAACTTAATATCATTTCAACCAATATAATTTATCTTTATCTAACGCCCCGGGGCGCTCGTTAGCAAGATCCTTTTATTTTATACGGATTACAAATTTTTTTTAATTATACTTCTTCCCATATTTACTAATTGCAAATTTGCAAGTGAGGCAATTTTTTTTATGGAAAAATATAATTATTTGAAATTCTGATATATATTTTCAAATTTTTATTTCTACAGTAATGTTTTTACTAAAATGTAATTGAAGATTAAATATTATTAATATAAGGTATTCATCAATAAAATTTCTCGTAAAATTTTGTCGTTATGTTAAATAGATTGAGAATGGAGAAAATAAAGTATATTTTTCCACTTTAGATCTTAATAGTCGTAAGGTTTTAACTTGAATTATAAGTATTTACCATTTATTAATGGTTTTAATTACAAAAGTGTATAGATATCACATTTAAACGTTTACATTAAAGGTTAACAAATGACAAGATTAATTTTATTTTTTTTGTGCATGAAGATTAAATTTTATGTAATAATAATATAGGGGAAAAAAAAAACCAATATTAAAAATAGAGGAAGTATGACTATTTTATAAAGAAATGAGCATCATGATTCATGAGCACAATATCTATTTTATTTATATTATTCTTATACATGAATTTGTTATGACTTAGACACGTGTAGACTCTGTAGTGCTAGTTCTTGGGCTAAGTACTAGATTATCATCTTTTAGGTTAAAAAGTTGTGGGGTTTGATCTGATGAAGTCCATTGTTATTGGTATGTAATATTTTGATTTGAATTATATAGTAGGGACTAGGGATATTGTTATCAAGAGCACCACTTGGTAAACGGAACATTCTACTTCCTAGGAGGGTTTAGGCCTTCCAATAGGTTGTTCACTTGGTGAAACACAAATAATAGGTTACAAACAATATCAAATTTTAAGGACAAAATTGGTTACCAATCAATTGATGGCTAGTAAACTTGTGTACTTCGTGAAAGTGTGTACGTAAATGCTTTGGTAGTCTCTATTTTTATACTTCACAGAAAATAACTTTAACGTGATCTAATCCGAATCTAATTCGAATCTAATCCGAACATTATCTCCTAGTACATTAGTTTGCTTAACTAGTTTATAGTAATAATTTTTTTATACAAATATGCTCTGAATCTGGATAAATTGTTAATGTGTATAACAATGTATAAGCTATTACAACATTGAATATTGGAGACAATGTGTACTAGTGAAATAATTACAAATAAATTATATTCAATTCATTAAAACAGACGGTGACGAAACATTTATATTATATCAAAAAATAGTGCAACCATTTAATGATGACCCCCTTGTAGATTTGATAAGAAGAGAAGTTGTTGATCATGTAAACTTATAGTTTGTTGTAACCTCTATGCTTACAACTTATAGGTACAAAAAGAATTAAATGAGTTGTTCTTGGTGGATCAAAGACACTATTTTACAAAAGCTGGTAAAAAGTACCTATATATAATTACTAAATAAACTATCTGAAATAACTTATCTTATAGAAACTTTTGATTTAATATACCCATTTCTCCACAAAGTACAAACTACCAAAAGAGTAGAAAATTTCAAATCATTCATTTGTATATTACTACATATATAAAAACAAAATTAATACACTTCTTCTATTAAATTCCACAAGAGAAAAATAAAATCAATTGAGGGGTGATTTTAATTACACAACAAATTAATTAAAAGAGGACCAATTTAATTATTATAGGATGTTTTTTGTCAGGAAATGATTGACCCACCCAAAGACATAACTCAACCCGGATGAGTGGGATTGAGGTAAGTTAAGGGTTTGTTTGTCTGAACACTTTCTGATTTTTCATACCTTTTTTTTTTCCTAGGTTTTTTCTTTCATTATTCATACCTTACTATGTTAAGCCTTTTTTAAAGAGAAAATAAAAATACCTCATTTTGTTTTTTCTATTTTCATAAAATGTACATAAAACCAAACACACCCTCTTCTTCTTCTTCGTTTTTTTTTCTCTTTATTTCTCTCTCCATTAATCATAAAAACTTGAAGTTTAATTTCTCCACCAAAATCTTTACTCTACTTATGGCAACCGTTAGCATTTCAACTCTTTCTTCTTTCTTCCAAACTCGGCATAACCATTAAAGCTCGAAACTTCGCGTTTTTTTTTTCAAAAATTAAAAAAAAAACCCTTTATTAAAAAAAAAAAAGGATTTCAATATTATTCTAAGGTTTTTTGATAGGTAATCTCCCAAAAAAATGGGGGCAAATATATTAGGTACAATTCTTCAAAAAAAAAAAAGTTGGATGTTTTTTTAGTTTACTTTTTAATTTATGTAAAAATGGCTACTAATCATCATCAATTAATGGAGGAGAAATCATCTTCATCAACAAACTTTTGTTATTCAGATGTTCATCATTTAGGAGTTAGTCATCATCTTCAAAATTTTGAATCAAACCCTGAAATTTACAACTTAACTAGTGGTATAGAAATGATAGGGTTTCAACCTAAACCTCAGAGTTTAATATCCGGCGTTGCGCAACCAGATGAACAACAACAACGTCATCAGCAACAGCAGCAACAAGAGATGGGGTTTATTGATGATTCATCTTTAAGGCCTTGTGTTTTCCCTTGTGAAGGTAATGAGAGGCCTAGTCAAGGCCTTTCGCTTTCGCTCTCATCTTCTAATCCATCCACTATTAGCCTCCAATCCTTTGAGCTTAGACATAATAATCTTCATCATCATGGCCAAAGATTTGATCTTTCCTCCCCGTCTTCGAATACTCGAGACGGGTTTTTGGGAAAGTCTCAATCTTTTCATCATCTTCAACAACATCAAGATGAGCAACACCATCAACAACAACAACAACATGAGAATTCTAGTGGTGGTGGTAGTATGGGTATACAATTTGAAATGATGAGGAATTCTAAGTATATGGGGCCCACTCAAGAGCTTTTGAGTGAGTTCTGTAATCTTGGAACAAAGGGTTATGATGATGATTTACAAAGGAAACTGTCTAAGAAGAAGAGTAAAGAGCAATGGGATTTCGAAGGAGGGGGTAACGACAACGATGATGATCGTAGTCGTAACCCCAATAATAACAATAATAATAATAACAATAATAATGCGAGTAGTAGTTCCAATGTTAATCCATCATTGTATGGTGTTAGTCTATTGGAATTGCAGAAGAGGAAGACAAAGTTGCTTAGCATGTTGGAAAAGGTATATATTACATTTTACTTTCTAATTTCTTATAATTTTATGCTTTTTTAAATTATATATATGACTCTTTTTTAAGCATTAAAAATGCCTAAATTCTACTTCTTTTTTTTATTTATTTTGCATCACTTCTTCAACACCCAAATAAAAAAAGAGCAAAGAAATTGCTAATTAATTACAGAAAAGAAAGGAAAAGAGAAAATCTTTGATCTAACTAACTAAATTGGTTGAAATTATTTTGTGGGTCATCATAAAGAAAAAAAAAATGGGAAAAAAAAAATTGAATCTTTGAACTAATTAGGCGACTATAAAGACCTTGTCAATAAATGCTAAAAATCATATATGGGTGACAATTCAGGGACTTCATTAAATTTTTTCCTTAGAAACTCCCTATTTTTTGATCTGATACAAGTGATTTTTACCACTTTGTAATCTTTTGAATGTTTTTTCCCCCTATTTTTGTGGGGGGTGTATTTTATTTTTTTGTTTTGTAGTTGGACAGAGGATACAAGAACTACTGTGAGCAAATGAAGGGAGTAGTGTCTTCCTTTGAGGCAGTGGCCGGGGCGGGCGCAGCGGATACATACTCTGCCTTAGCCTCCAGGGCAATGTCAAGGCATTTCAGGTGTTTAAGAGATACAATTGTAGCTCAAATTAAGGAAACCAAGAAAGCAATGGGAGAAAAAGATAATGCAACAGTTTTAGGAACAACAAGAGGTGAAACTCCAAGACTTAGGCTTTTAGACCAAAATTTGAGGCAACAAAGAGCTTATCAACAAATGACCTTAATGGAGGCTCATCCTTGGAGACCTCAAAGAGGCTTGCCTGAACGTTCCGTTTCGATTCTTCGTGCTTGGCTCTTTGAGCATTTCCTACACCCGTATGTATATGTCATCTCTTTGATCAATCTTTTTCTCTTTCTCAATTACTTTGTGTCTGTTTGTTTGTACTAGGCCTTAGAATCTAAGGCCGACTTTCGTGTCGTGGTTAGCTTGACATAAACATGACAATTTCATTCATGGTAAAGTATCAAACTTTAGTCGAAAATGGTATAGCATGATGTGTTGAACACTCTAGATAGAAGCTCCAATTGTAGGTAGTTTAGCTCAATCATTCTAGTTTACAAGGAACTATATACCACATGCTCTTGTTAATTAGTTTTATTTTTATTTTTATTTTTTCGCTTCAATTTATTTGTTATTCTTTTGCAAGATTCCAATCGTCTTACTTTGTTCTTATTTGATCGTTTTTTTGTCATGATTTCATCAATCATATTTTGTTCACTTCCTCTTCTTTTTAGGCCCCATTTTTCTTTCTATACCACTCAAAGAAGCATACAAAATTTCCACTAAAATAAAAGTGTCAAGCTAAGTATTTAGCTAAAGTGGTACAAAATTCTTATGGAATCTAATTCCATGGCTTGGAACTTAAACTCACGTTTTATCCAAATTTAAATGTTCTTCCCCTTCTCAGGTATCCAAGCGACGTCGATAAGCACATCTTAGCACGCCAAACCGGTCTTTCAAGAAGCCAGGTAAGGGACATTGTTACTATGCTAATTGTAGAATTTATTAATCTACATTATCCAATAAGTATAATCATGTTTGTACAATTAATAATTTTTTTTTTAGATTTAGTAAAAATAATACCACAATAAGACATTTCAGATTAGTCACCATGATAGATGTTACATATATATATACATTGATATATAATTGGTTTTTAGTCAACAAACTATGCTTTTTAATTGGTGATTATGTTAATTATAATTTGATTAATTAAGTTTATGGATATGATGGTTAGGTGTCTAATTGGTTTATTAATGCGAGAGTGAGGCTTTGGAAGCCAATGGTAGAGCAAATGTACCTAGAGGAGACCAAAGAGGAGCAAGACAAGAACATGGGCTCCTCCTCCGATGGTGGTACCGAGCATCAACCGTCTACTACGGATCATCTCGGCGGCCTTATCCACCACCAACAACCACCACAAGAACAAAAACCGGACCCTGATCAACTCATCCGGATTGATCCGGACTCACTTTCCTCCATTGTCAACACCACCACCACGGCCTCCTCGAGTAGGGGTGACACTCAGAATAGGATGAGTCAATTAAATTTCCAACAAAATGGTCAATTTATTGGCAGGGTTGAGGGTTTTGGTTCAGTGGATCATTTTGATTTTCCATCATCGTCATCATACAACCAACAACACCATGCAGCAAATTATGGGAGTACTTCTCAAAATGACAATAATACCCCTCACCAAGGCTTTGGTGGTGGCAACAATGTGTCATTGACATTAGGGTTGCAACAACATGGTGGTAATGGGGTGAGCTTAGCGTTTTCGCCCGCGTCTCAGGCAGCAGCTTCTCTATTCTACCCTAGAGAACATAATATGGAAGATTGTCAACCTGTTAATCATCAGTACTCTCTCTTGGATGAAAATCAAGGGCAGAACAATTTGCCTTACAGGAACTTGATGGGTGCACAAGTACTCCATGATTTCGCCTAATCGCCCGTTGTTGATTATATTATATTATGAGAGATCATCATCATCCAAATGAAATGAAACTCTTGGGAACTCGGTTGGATCAAATATATGGGGTAATTCATATTTTGAGGTTTAATTAATTTCTTAGTTTGTAAGGAATCTTATACTAAGTAGGTATAGGTTAATTAGGTATTAAGCTAGATGGAGTCAATTTAAACTAGTGATTCTATATTTATCTATAATACTCCATGATATATTGATACATGCATACATATATATTTATGTAGCTAAACAATGGGAGGTGAAACTAAAATATAAATGGGAGTTATCATGGACTATATTGCGTGTATGTTAAAAGTAGAATTTGTTATATGCACTCGGGTGTACCATACACCCAATAACTAACCTAAGGTTAATTTTGCTCTTTATTTGATGATAAAATGAAAAACAATAATTAAAATAAGAAAAAACAAATGTTGATGGGTATACGATACACCCGAGTGTATATTATAGTCTCTTGTGTTAAAGATGTTGAACTTAGCTTTTTTGGGCATCATTTATATTGTTTTGGAAATGTTAGGGTGGTTTAAGGAGCATTAAACATCAAACCTATATTAAATTTTATTGGCTCCACTTGGAAAAGAAAATGTTAAAAATAGGGGAATTTCATACTTATGGGCATACATATATACTTAGTAATTTGTTTCTTATTGTTATAAGTCTTATATTTTCTATGTTTTCTTGCATTGTTAAGATGTCGTCTATGATAGGGTTATTCAAGGAACGATTGGACCCACATATTGTGGAAGTCATGACTCTGCTAGAGTCTATACCGGAGAAATATTACTTCATATTAGTGTATAATTTCCTCGTTATTTAAATATTCTACTATAATTTAATTTGGTTTATAATTTATTTCTATTTTTATTGTCTTTTTCCTCCCACCCAAAAAATAAAAGAAAGAAAAAAAGAAAAACCCTTTGTGTCAAGGAACTTTTGATAGGGGGCCACTATAGCTGATTGAACCATTTGTGGTTCATTTTAAGATGAAATAGGACTTTGGTGAGGCCTTATCTACACAAATAACTTTCATAATAAAGAGACGTACTTTGTAATTTGATTGGTTTTCTTAAGTTTGAAAGATTAAGCAAACCAAAATTCTATTATTTCCATTCTTTTGTTGAAGAGTAAATGATAATGTGCATGGACCATGCATGATTTATCACTCTCCGATGGTGATCATCTTCTTAATTGCGCAAGACAATAAGAACTTCTTTTCAATAATGAAATTCTTTTGGTTGGACGGGTTTAGAATAATCAAACATTTGCTAATTTTACAAATTTTCTCGGATTTTATCAAATGGGATCATGCTTATTCCTTTCTCTAAATGTTAACTAGCCTTAAACTTTTTATACTACCTCCGGATTGTATTATTGGGTATTATTTGTGAGATATACAAAATTCTAAAGTTGCATTCATATAATATAATACGATCCAGAGGTACGATACTACTCCCTCCGTATTTTTTTAAGTGTTACACTTTTCATTTCCGGACGTGTTTTTTTAAGTGTTACACTTCCTTTTTTGCCAAAAAGCCACATTAAAAATATTATATCTCTCTCCTCTCAAGGTCCCCACCCAAACCTACTACTACTTTTTTATTATATCTTTCCTTTCACATTCATTACTTTTCAATAAACTATTAACCTCACTATCTTTCTTTTATAATTTTTTAATACTCCAACTACCCCACTTACCTCTTATTTTATTTAAGTCAAATAAATTGCCTAAAACTATGTGTCAGTCAAAGCGTAACACTTAAAAAAAACACGAAGGGAGTATATAATTTGAAATCGAATCGAATCGAATCTGTAGTTTTTGTTTTTAACAAAATTAGTGGTTAGGAGAAGGCCCATCCTAAAATAGGGGAATTTTAAGGGAAATCCCTCCTAAATGAGCTTTGTGATATTCGACCCCTAACCTTATGCCTAGAGGCTAGAAGTCAAAAAACTGGCCAACTACTCTAACAATCTAGCTTAGCCTCATCTCATCTCATCTCATCTCATCTCATCTATAATTGCATATTTCCATTTGACAATGCATAGTGTGTTACTTCTTTATATGGTTTCTTGAAAACCAAAAATATAATATTACTACATGCTTGAAGTTTATGTCTACTTGATTCATATTTCTAGCTAGCATATGCATATCCCCTATTGGATTCTCAAAAATAAAAAAGAAAATCATATTATTAACAATTGCTATGAAAAAAATAATAAGTCTATTTATAGCTGCATCAAGGTGCAAGGCCAATTAATTTAATTGGTATCAATTAGTTTTTTTTTTTTTTGAAATAATTGGTATCAATTAGTTGTTATTGCTTATCACTTCGATGCTATTGAAAAAACAAAACTATATTGACAACGATTTAAATCATTTTAATATATCAACGTGACATTTTTTCATTGTACCATCGCTTATGTATCTCATTGTTTATAAGCACATTCGGTATAGTAGTCAAATCTTACTAACGATTAACATCATGTCATTAAAACTAGAATGATTCATCGTAACAAACTCAATGACAATCTTGTATACTGTCATCTCAATATTGGTGAATAACTTAATTATAACAGTTATGTAATTTCATCAACTTATATGAATGTTCTATATAAAAATAAAATGTGAATGTCAACTAATTTAGTTGATTAAAGTTTTAAAAATGATAATCAAATTAGTAATTATATTTCGTCTATATCACTAACCTCGCGGTCTTTTGACACAAGAAAAAAAAATGAACAACCATGGTGTCACTAAAACAAATAATGAGGTGACAAAACCGGGCAAGTAATTTGAGATATGTACTGATACCTCTAGACAGCGGACAGCCCACATTTAAGAGGTTGGGCTTGATTGAAATTTGGAGGGTAATCAGATTGGATCGATTGGTCTAAGACAACTAAGCCCATACACATAGAATTATGGGCCGACCAAGATATTTTCGGCCCAATATTCAAAAACTGCACCAATAGGCAATAGTTCCAATTTTCTTTGTTCCTTTTGTAGATGGTCTACCTAAACCCTCAATAGTCGTTACTCATTAGCAAAGAGAGATGAGAAAGGTCGAAACTCGAAATCAATACCAACAATTGTTGTTCCGGATGAGTTTCGATACCGTGATGTCTTGGGGTAGGTAAAGGTTTACCGTCCAATTTAATACCTGCACAGTCAGCACAGATTAACTAGCCCGGGGGGTTATCCGGGAATAACCGCTCCGATGCTAAAGTCAGTAATCTAGGGAAGCAAGAATGAAGAGAGAGAAGGTGTTTTAGAGAGAGAGAGAAAGATTCAAAGAGATTGTACCTTGTTATGAGAATGCGTCTGGGTATATATAGGGGAAGAACCAAGCTGGTGCCACCTTATGACGTTAGGTGGCAAACCGACCTTATACGTAGCAGGTGCCTACGTGGCCAGGAGCAGCTCTCCACGTGGCCAAGTGGAGAGCCGTTAAGGATGTACGAGTTTAACTAAATAGGCATGTGAAAGATTTAACTTTCGGCCTATTTACACTACTGTCGGCATTATCCCGTATAACTAGCCCCCCAAGTGAGGACGTTGGTAAAACCGATGTTCTCACTTTTGAATTTTTATGTAATTGAAATCTTGATATATTATTCGTACTCAAAGCCGATAGTACTTTTCTCAATTGAAACAAATGAAACGTATTAAATTAAAAAATCTCCGATTTGCCCCCAAAGTGAGCTAAGTTATTGAACTTTGCTCAATTTGAAGCAAATGAAACATAAATTAATAAATTAAAAAATCTCCGATTTGCCCCCCAAAGTGAGCGAAGTACCGATAGTACTTTGCTAAATTGAAGCAAATGAAACGTATTAAATTAAAAAATCTCCGATTTGCCCCCAAAGTGAGCTAAGTACCGATATTACTTTGCTCAATTTGAAGCAAACGGAGTTTAGGATTTTTGTAATATTATAAAAAAAATTATTTTTTATACTATTACTATTTTTTTATTTAATCATATCACTTCGCAAATGATAGTACAATTGGAAATTGGCGGGAAGTTTCTAAAGGTGTAGTGGGACACACGTTGTGAATATAGAGAGGTGAGCGGTGACGCGTCGCAATTGCAACCGTAAAATTGCATGCAATAATGTCAAATCAAAAAGCACATGTTTTTGGGCGTATATAAAAAGAGAAAACGAAAGGTTTCTTCGTTATTCGACTTAGGTTTCAAAAAATTTCAAAAAATTCAAAAAATCCCAAAGTAACACATGTTCAGTGCGTATTTTCATGGTTCTCAATTCGCCTCAAAGCATTTTACTCCCAAATTTATAGAAGTGGTAGGAATTTTTACGCGTGAAGGGCTGCAGTACTCGGTTGTTCTTGCTATTCCTTAGAGGTAATGAATTTCAACTTTTGTCCTGCGTACTTTGTTTTCATTTTTGGTGTGCTTTGTGTGCGTATATAGTGGATTTTTTGGTCTTTGTGTGAGTTATAGATAATTATGTCTGAATCTGTAAAGGGCTATATTACGGTAAAGCCATTGTGGCTGACCCGTTTATGCACTTGTCCTCAGCGCCAGAGAAGGAAGCTGAGAAGTTCTCTCGGCGCATAAGTACGTGTATTTTAGAAGACATTGATATTGTCGGAGTTGAGTCTATCAGCGTTGTCAGTCAAAGCAGTTCGGAAATTGCCATTGATGAGTACGATTCTAATTTCGGCAAAATAAGCATTAGAAAATCGGAGATGCCAAGATCTAAGCGCCCCAATATCGGTTTTGATCAAGCCGAGAGCTCCCTTAGACGCCCTGGTAAAGATCCGATAGATGATCTGGATACTCAAGAATCCAATATTCGGGCTGAAGACATTGAGTCCGTTGAACGGAGTCTCGAGTCAGATAGGGAAGAAGACGAGGGAGAAGATGGTAGCCCTGGGGAAGAAGAGCAAGAGGGTGAAGAAGAAGAAGATGAAGAGCAGGAACTCAGCATAAGTAGTGAGGATACTGATGAAGAAATTAACGAGGACATCAACATTGGTGAACAAGTAATTGCCGAAGAACGTGCTAATGAGGGTTACAACTCTGAAGATTACGATGCTGTTTACCGACAACCTCTGCAGCTCTCTGACGCAACCAAGGTTGTGCAGGTCAAAGTTGATGTTGCTTGGCTGAAAACTGCTGCTGAAAAGAACTACTGCAGTGTCGGCAGAAGATTCTACCGGCTTCCTGATAACTATGCTCTAACCCTTCCTAAATCTGGCGATACTGTTATTGATTGCCCTGAAGGGCATATTGCTGTGTATGCCAAGCATTTTGAGTTTGTTCTTCGTTTTCCACTTCATTCTTTTATTGAAAAAATATTTAAAGCTTGGAATGTAGGTATTGCTCAATTGACACCAACAACAATTCGTAATGTCATATCATTAGTGTGGGTTATGATATATATGGATTTTCCTCTAACTTTGAATCTGATCCGCAAACTTCACTGGCTGAAAAAAGATAGCCCGTCTCCAGGTTGGTGGTCACTATACACCGTTAATGGCAAGGTCTCAGTGTGGCCGAAACTGACCAGCTGTAAAAAGTGGCAAGGACAATTCTATTTTATGAAGGTTCTTGATACCTTTTCTGTAAGAAGAACTTTTCATCTGCCTCATACTAGATTTGACACTATTAGAGATAGGAAATTAGGCCCACTTGAACGAAAAGCTTTTCGGTTTTTTGATTGCCTTTATGTAAATGATGGTAAAAAGGTTAAAGATGTACCTAGGGAGTGGAAGCCCAACTGTATTATATCCTGGGCAACGCTCCCCTATCTCATATCGGTCTCTGCCATACTGACGAATATGGTATGATTTAAGCAGTTATTTCATTTAATTCTACCTTTAACTCGTTATGTGTTGCTTACCTTTCTTTTTCCCTGATCTCTATTACTTTGTAATTTTCTTAAGTTATTATTCTGAATTGTCGTGATTTTAGTTATATATATATATATCGTGCTATCAATTTATCGGAGTGTATTATTTTGCTATACATGATGACCAATTCGTTTATCGGCTGATACCGTTACTGTGTTATCAGGACCTGATAAATTGGACAATGAGAAGTTGGGACTGTACCCTGACGGCCGCGTAAAACGGCAGTGTCCGCCAAACCCCAAAGGCAAGCTCGATTCTGCCTTATCTAGACCGAGATCTGCTGGGGCTGACGTTCTTCCTCTCAGGATAGGCGGGGGTACTGTTAGGTCGAAGAGAAGTAGCTCTGTCTCTGACTGTGATCAGACCAAGAAACAAAAATCTACTCCGACCATCGGCCGAGAGCAAGATCAGACTAAGGAGGCTGCTGAGTTCGTGAATCTAGATGATGATGACGCCACCGTTGTTACCGAGAAAGGGCATCACGGTGGCGACGATCCATTTCGACCGCCACCTAGAATTCAAGTTGAGAGGATCATTTCTGTCTCTAAGGAGGTCCCATATGCTGCAACCGGCCTTACCGGGTCTGGCGTTCCGAATGCTTTCACACCTGTGTCGGCTCCAGATTTTATAGAGGTTCCACATGTGAGGGTTCCTCAAGAGGTTGCTGACGAGCTTCTGAGTTTTTCTGTCGGCAACGCCAGTGAGCCCTGGCAGCCCCAATTAAACGTGAATAGAGGGGAGTCTGTGTACACCGATGATCCGTCATCGGGAGGGAGTCTTGGCTGGAGAATGTTGATGGACTTACCTACCCCAGCCGACAGGACTACAGCCCGATTTACAGCTCCGTGTGGTCAGATGATGAATAGTATACTCATGGTATGTTTTACTTTATTATTATTATCATTTTATTTATTATTGTATATTTTATTATTTTTTATTATTTATTATATATATAATTTTTTTTATTCGCAAATATCCTGAGTTGGTTGACTGTTTCACAGACCGTGAATTCGGCCGTTGAGGTTGTTCACATGTATAAACACTATCTGAGGCTGGCGGATAAGGCCGAGATGGTGTTACAAAAAGCTGACGAGGAGCAGAAGATCCACAAAGACGAGGTGGAGGGTTATAAGAACAAAATCCAGCAGCTAGAGGGAAAGGTTGTTGATTACGATGCGCTGGCTAAGCAACTGGAAGACCAAGCCCAGCTTAAGGCTCGAGTTGATGATCTTGAGAAGAAATTGAAGGTTGAAGAGGAATTGAGAAAGAAAGCCGAGAACGACCTTGAGTTGGTTCGCTCAGAGCTGCCTGCTGTCAAGCGGCGGGCAGTTAATCAATTCCTCAAATCTGACTTTTACTGCCACAAGCTGATCGACTGCTATACTGGTGGTTGGGTAGCTGCGCACCGATGTGTATGCAAGGCGGGCGAGTGGGATGAGGAAAAATGACAGGCAGTTGAGGACGCCTACGGTGCCGACCGACATCTCTCCCCTACCAGCTAAGAGGAGTCATACTTTGCCGATCCCTCTGGCCTGGATACAATGAAGAATGTCGATCCACGCGGCCTCCCTAATGAGCAATTTGATGATGCAGTTTTTACTACCCCTCCCCATAACGGCGGTTTGGAGAAGGAATCTGAGAAAATACAGGGCTGAAGTGTTTTGGCCGTTTTATGCTGATTTTGCTTTGTCTGGTTTTTATAGAACAATTTAATTTTGACATGTTATAGTTAAACTATGTTTTAAGCAACATACTATGATGGATTATAACTGCTGATTTTGACATGTAACTTTTTTGTCGGCTAGAGTGCCGTATATTAACTATATTATTTGACAAGTTTTGTTTTTGCTTATCTTTCTGCTATCTTTCTAAGCCTTTAGCCTTGCTTATTGTATGATTACTATCAGTATAGTTTATGCATTATACTCCCCCATTTCTCCGAGTTAACCATTGTATGGTTACTCGTGTGAAATTAATACCGTCATCAGCCTTTCACTATATGAGAGCTTTTGCTCGTATAAGCCTCTCACTATGTGAGAGCTTTGTACCATTTGCGACCTTTAATGGGCCGAGCAGCGGAAATGGATCAGACAATCCGTTCAACTCGCCCAAGGTGCTTTAGTTATCCAACCATCCTGTTACTTGAATGAGTGTAACAGATAGCTAGGCTGCGTACACTTGCATATCGAAAGTAAACAGATGGTTCCATATTGTTCCGCAAAATAACACTTTATATATATTGGAAGGCCGACATCAAAGATTCGTCAAGTTACAGCAGGTTATGTTGAAAGACTGAAACCTATACCTATTACAATTTAAAACTGTAATTTAGATTAAGAGCGTTTAAACATAGTACTTTTTAAGCACAGCTTCATTCCATACATTCTTTAACGGTTTCCCTTCAAGGGTCATTAGACGGTAAGAACCTTGTCTCACAGTTTCATACACCTGATATGGTCCTTCCCAATTTGCAGTAAGTTTGCCATCAGCATTTGCTTTACTTGTTGTCGCTGTCCTCCGCAGCACTAGATCTCCGTCTTCTAACGGCCTATAGCTGACACGTTTGTTGTAAGCCTTACACATTCTATCTTTGTATGCTGCTGACCTAATTTCGGCCATTAGCCTTATCTCTGGTAGAAAATCTAATTGTTGTCGTAGCAGTAGGTCGTTTTGTTCCTCGCAAAAATGTTGAACTCGGAATGTGGGGAGCCCTACTTCTGCCGAGATAACCGCCTCTGAGCCGAAAGCAAGATTATAGGGTGATTCACCAATTGTTTCCTTTGTTGTCGTCCTATTTGCCCATAGTATCTCAGGTACAAGGTCCGCCCATAATCCTTTAGCGTCTTCTATTTTCTTCTCCAAAGCATTCAAGATCTGTTTCTTAGAGGCCTCTGCTTGACCGTTGGACTGAGGATGACAAACTGTGGCATAGGCGAACTTTACCTTATATATGGCAAGAAAATTCTTAACCGGGGCACAGTCAAATTGTGAACCGTGATCAAAGACCATCGCTATCGGCAAACCAAATCTAGTGAAAATATTTTCCAAATAAATTTCTTTACTTCATTTGCCGTTATCTTCGTTACAGGTTCGGCCTCTATCCACTTTGTAAAGTAGTCTATCCCTAACATCAAGAACTTACGTCCTCCCGTTGCTGATGCGAATGGGTCAACAATGTCCATGCCCAATTGTGCAAATGGAATAGGGTTGAGAATAGGTGTCAGGTCGTTAGGTGGTTGATTTATTGCCGGTCCAAAATTCTGACATTTGTCACATTTTTTGGCATATTCCATTGCATCTGCATTCATTGTCGGCCAGTAATACCCCCTTTTCATTGCCTCCAACGACATTGATCGGCCACCCGAGTGATTTCCGCAATCGCCCTCGTGTATTTCTTCTATCAACCTTTCGGATTCGTATGCCGTTAAACATCTTCGTAACGGTAAGGAGAAACCTCTTTTGTACAATATGCCTTGGAATATGATAAACCAGATGCTATCTTTCTTGATTTTTTGGGCCTCATTCTTATCTGTCGGAAGTACGTTTTGCACCTTGTAGGCTAGGATGTCGTCGTACCATTCACGGCCTCTCATTATGCAATTCATTTCTTTCCCTATTTCCTTGTATATACTCTTTTGACTCAGGATCTCAACCATTACCGTGCGCTCTAAGTCGTTGAAGCTTGAACTCGCAAGCTTTGACAGTGCATCGGCTTGTGTGTTTTCACCACGAGGTATTAGGTTGATTTCGAAATGGTCGAGTGCCGTTACTATACTTTTTAGCCGAGCCAAGTAGGCTATCATCGTCGGTTCTCGGGCTTCATATTCGCCAGTGAAGTGGCTGGCTACTAACTGTGAATCTGTGGACAACTTCAACCTTTTCGCTCCTGTTGCTAAGCATAATTGAACCCCTGCTAGTGCTGCCTCGTATTCGGCCTCATTATTGGAAGCCTTAAACGTGAATATTATCGCATATTCGAATGTATCCCCTTCTGGGGATATCATGATGATACCGGCTCCAGATCCAGTTGAGGCCGATGACCCGTCAACTGATACTTTCCATGCGCCGATTGCTTCCTCTTCTTCAGTGTACGAAGTTTCAACTATAAAATCCGACAAGGCCTGAGCCTTGATCGACACTCTTGGCCTATAAATCATCACATATTCCGATAACTCAATTTCCCATTTCAATAGACGACCGGAAGTTTCCATTTTCCGAAGAGACTTCTCTAGCGGCTGATTTGTCAATATTTCGATGGTATGTGCATCGAAGTACAGTCGTAGTTTCCTTGCTGCTATGACTACTGCATACGCGGTTTTTTTCGACTAGAGGGTACCTTCGTTCTGCAGCATTCAGGACATGGCTAACAAAATATATAGGCATCTGTATTTTTTTTCCGCTCCACTAATAGCACAGCCGCTACCGTTTTCGGGGATGCCGAGATATAAAGCTGTAATGTTTCTCCCGTCTCCGGTCTGGCAATTGTAGCAAGTGATCGTAGGTGATTTTTAACGGCTTCTAGCGCTTTCACCTGCTCTGGTCCCCAAACGAAAGTCTTGTTCTAACGGAGGATAACAAAGAATGGTAATGCTTTATCAACTGATTTGCTGATAAATCTAGTTAATGCTGCCATCCGACCCGTTAACTTTTGTATGTCTTTAATGGATTTGGGTTGTGGAAGACTAAGAATGGCTTCTATTTAATCGGGATTTGCATCAATTCCCCTTTCACTGACCATAAAGCCTAAGAACTTTCCGGACTTGACGCCAAATATGCACTTCTCAGGATTTAATTTCATTCGATACCGTCGCAGGGTATTGAAGGTCTCCCTTAGATCCTTCACATGGTCGATAGCTAGACGGCTTTTTACGATGGAGTCATCCACGTATACTTCGACATTTCTTCCCTTTTGGTCCGCAAAAACTTTGTCTACTAGCTTCTGGTAGGTAGCTCCTGCATTTCGCAACCCGAAAGGCATTGCTCTATAACAATAAACCCCGGCATCTGTGATAAATTCCGCTTTATTCCGATCTGGTTGATAGAGGCTAACTTTATGGTATCCAGAAAAGGCATCCATAAAACTCAAAAGCGCATGTCCAGATGTAGAGTCAACTAGGCGATCAATTCTTGGTAGAGGATAACAATCTTTTGGGCAAGATTTGTTTAAGTCCGTGAAATCAACACACATTCTCCACTTTCCTGACGGCTTTTTAACCAAGACAACATTGGCCAACCATTCTGGGTATGTGCACGGCTCTATGAAACCGGCTGCCAATAACTTGTTAACCTCTGCCTGTATTGCTTCGATCTTTTCTGTTGAGAAATTCCTTTTCTTCTGTTGTACCGGCCTAGCCCGCCTATCCACATTCAGCTTGTGCACCATTACATCAGGATGAATTCCCGGCATCTCATCGGCCGAGAAGGCAAAAACATCGGCGTTCTCCCTCAGGAGCTCGACTAGATGGCACCGCATCTCGGTATCCATGTCGGACCCAATTTTTACTGTCCGATTTGCAACTCCTGGTTGGAGCTCAATATCAACAGTTTCTCCTCCCGGTAGTGGTCTAGGAACTGTTATTGGCCTTGTATCAAAGTTTTTCATTGCCAAATCATTGGTAAGCGGGGGTCGTTCCCTTTTTTGGTTATTCTGTCTCATCGGAACTTGTCGACATGGCTGCTTCAATGCTGACACATAACACTCCCTTGCCATCGTTTGACTTCCTCGAACACGCTCCATCCTGCCGGCATTAGAGACATACACCATTGTGAGGTGGTATGTCGAGACTACGGCTTGCGTATCGTGTATTAATGGTCTGCCGACAATAGCATTATATGATGACGGCACATCAACAATCAAGAATTCGGTCATCACATCCCTTGCCCTGGTTCCTTCCCCTATTCTGACTTGTAGGATTATGCTACCTTCAGGTCTGACAGTTGAGCCATTGAAACCGATAACAGGGTATGCCACAGGCGTTAAGTATTTCTGACCTATCATCATGGCGTCGAATACTCTTGCAAACAGAATATTCACCGAGCTACCCCCGTCTATCAGTGCGCGCTTGATATCACACCCATTTATCGATAATATCAAGACCAACGGATCATCATGGGGAAATACTATGCCTTTGGCATCAGCCTCCGAGAAGGATACGGAAGGGATATTGGTTGGCCGAGGTCGCTCATCTACTCCCAGCGCGTTTATTATGTGCTTATATTCCGACAAACTTTTCTTTGCACCACTAACAGATCCTCCATGCACAGGCCCTCCGGTAATTACCTCAATGGTAATTTTACGTCCGGCGGGGGCGGATCCTTGCCGACAAAACCTCGGAATGACCCTGTCGGTAAGTGTCATCTTGCGTTGACGGGTTTGTTTGTTCCCGATATTATGTATGTCTTATCGGTTGTGCGGGCTGTCGGCTCGGTCCTGCTTGAGACCGGTACTGAGACAGATGCCCCTTTCTGATAAGATCTTCGATATTTTCTTTCAATTGGACACACTCTTTAGTATAATGGCCAACGTCTCTGTGAAACATACAATATTTCTTCACATCTCGGCCCTTCGTTATCATTGGCGCCGGCCAATTCCAGTCTTCCTTGTGCTGATTTATTGAATAAATTGCGGCCCTGGGTGTGTTTAACTGAGTGTAACTACTATATCGCCCAAGGCCTCTAGCAGGCCTATTTGCTTTTTGCTGATTTTGCATGTTGACCCCACCGGGGGTTTCGGGCGACATGTAGGTGTTTTGTCGTCGAGACGGCTCTGCTGATGTTATCTGGTTACTTGCTTTCAACAGTTCTTCACTCTTAATGTACTCATGGGCCTTGTTAAATGCCGCACCGAGATTGGGGAAGAACTTCCTTGCCATGTACTTCTTGAAGTCACTATCAGCCAAACCGTTCATTAAGGCCATAACAGCTATCTTCTGCTGCAATTTAGGTATGGTATTAGCTTCATTATTGAATCGTCGAACGAAATCTCTCAGTGATCCGTCCTTCCTCTGCTGAACGGACATGAGTTCTCCTGAGGTTCTCTGCCTTGCGATGTCGCTTATGTATTGGCCCGTAAATAATTCAACTAGCGCGTCAAAACAACCGATAGACCCGGGCTGCAAATTAGTGAACCAATCCGAAGCCGCTCCAACCAGTGTTGTGGGAAAGACTTTGCACCACACAGCATCGGTGTCGGTGTATAGTAACATATGACTCTCAATTGCCGCTATATACCTTTTTGGGTCACCCTTGTCGTCATATGTGCATGACGACATCTTTATCTTCTCCATTTGCTGATCAAGGACCTCTTGCGTGAAGGGAGACGTCCTCGGCCGGACTATAGTTCGGGCTATATGCCTTGACGGCCCGCTACTAGCCTCATGTCGGTAGGATTCTGATTCTCCTCCGAATGTCGTTCGCGTAACTTGACGCTCTGATGGTATCACCTCTCCTGAGGTGGCAACCTGGTGTTGGGTTGCGGTCCAGCTTGATCAAACTGACCCTCGAGGTTGATGATAAAAGGGGATGTCGGCCCATTCCGGGGCTCCCTCGCAGCCGTCATCTCAGCCTCTTTTCTTTTTCGGGACATTGCCCGCATAACCTTGGCCGTTATCTCTAGTTCTTCTGGGGAAACTCTCCCAAAGGATCCGGGGCTGATGCCTGAATTCTTTCCGGTGTTCGCGGTATATCTGTAGTGTCCTTATAGAGAAGGTGGGTCTCATCTTCCACCGTTACCTCAGGTATGAGGTTTTCAGTTTTGTCGATGTTGGTATTTAGGACGTCGTTATAATCGTTCCGATTTCCTATTTTCGGTACTGGTGTGGTTTCGTTATCTCCTTCCATGACTGCTGGAGGTCTTTTTGGACGATAGAAGTTATTACTATTCCCTCCTTCTAGCGCCAATTGTTCCGGATGAGTTCCGATACCGTGATGTCTTAGGGTAGGTAATGGTTTATCGTCCAATTCAATGCCTGCACAGTCAGCACAGATTAACTAGCCCGTATCCGGGAATAACCGCTCCGATGCTAAAGTCAGTAATATGAGGAAGCAAGAATGAAGAGAGAGAAGGTGTTTTAGAGAGAGAGAGAGAGAAAGATTCAAAGAGATTGTACCTTGTTATGAGAATGCGCCTGGGTATATATAGGGGAAGAACCAAGCGGGTGCCACCTTATGACGTTAGGTGGCAAACCGACCTTATACGTAGCAGGTGCCTACGTGGCCGGGAGCAGCTCTCCACGTGGCCAAGTGGAGAGCCATTAAGGATGTTCGGGTTTAACTAAATAGGCATGTGAAAGATTTAACTTTCGGCCTATTTACACTATTGTCGGTATTATCCCGTACAATTGTTTGTGAGATGACATTGAGTTTTTAATTATCAATTAATTTAGTCTACATAGGACATAAATCAATCAATAGTATAAGGGGTATTCTAGAGATAATTTTAATTTGGGTATGATTAGTTGATTACAAGAACCTACAAAAGAAAAAGTGTAAACTATCCTCAAGGCTAGTTCAAGTCAAAATATTATTTTATAAAGATAGAAGAGGCCTAAACAATCAATTACAGAGTAATGATTTAGGGTCTGTTCTGATTTACAGAACTGAGCTAATTTAAATTGAATTGAACTCAACTGATTGAAGCTGAACTAAACTGAACAGAACTGTTTATGAGCGAAATATATTAGGAACTGAACTGATTGCAGCTGAACTGAACTGATTTATGGTTTGGTATAAAATTAATCCTTGATATAGTGATGAAATATACAATTTAAAAATATTTTTATTGAATATCAATAGAGCAAGTCGATAATGAGGTGCCAAACGACCCTATCACAAAGACCAAGGCCATAACCTCCACAGGTAAATAGACGCATGGGTCAAGTTAATATAAGGGTTGATTTGGCATGACACAAAAGGGTCAGTAGCCCATTAGCTATTTCATAGATAAATGTGCCTCAACAAAATTAGTACATCCTTCTAATTCGTACTCCATAATTATTACTTGTATTTCATCATAGTAGAACATAACCACTAGGCCCACTACAATACGTACTACATGGCAAGATACAAAAATTAGATCATCATCATAGTACTCCGTATCATATATACATTCGTACAACTTCACCTATTCTTCATTTCTTCTACTAGTAGTTTTTCTGGCTTAATTTCAGGCTTCATCGACCGTTGGATGTAATCCAGTGTCAGCATCATGTTATGTTAAACAAAATTTGGCAACGAAAGCTCTGCTATTGCAGAAACTATAATAACCCGAAATATCGAATGATTATTACTTCAAAAAATGCTATGAAAATTGACAGGAAATGTGAAGGTACATATAATCATAATGCTACGTTTGTTTTATAGTTTGTTTTCTGGTATTTTTGTTTGATACAGTACATTATTGTTTATTTGCTAATACAACAAAATAAGAACTCATGTGTTGAGACAAGAGAGAAAGAAAAACATGTGCAAATAAGAAGTAGTCGCAATATATAATAAATATAAAACATTCATAGAAGTAACTCCGTATTACATACGTCCCTATATTTTTATGTAAGTAGGTTAGACCTTAATTTATTTGCTAATCAACTTTGGAGCTGCTAAGTGACTTTTAAAAATTTGACTGTTTGGCCCAAACTTAACAAGACTAGAAAAGTAGAAACTTACCCAGAAGTGGGCCGAGTTTACAGAGTTTTTGTAACTTAGCCCGGCTATGTTATTATACTTATTTAGATCAGCTATGTTATTACACTTATTTAGAAGTCCCTCCATGCATGACTCAATTTCTCCTCTTGTGATGGAGGTTCGATTCCTTATTTTTAGGAGGGGATTTCCCCGTATCTTACCGTAAATAGATATATATATGTACATTTCCGTATTTGGTTTATTATTTGTAAACTCCAAATATGCCTTGAATTGAATGTTATGGGTTAAGAAGTGTATAAAAAAAAAATTAGACTTATAGGAACATATAGTGTATCATCATACGTGTTAAGTAACTGTGTTAATTATTTTATGATGAAAAGAGTAATACAAGTACAAAATATTCCGTATATAATTATCACATATTTTATAAGATCTTGGAGATATTATCCTCCACAAGTAATTTTTTTTTTTTTAAAAAAAATTTATCTATCTTTACATAAGAGCTGACCCCTAGAAATTGTCTACGATCCTAGACCAAAAAAAAAAATGCACATAAATACGAATAGAAATACAAATAATAGTAACCCGAATATGTTGGCTACCCTACCCTCTCTATTGACGGGTCGGTTTCACCAACTCCCCTACTCCCCCGACAATATTTTAGGACCCACTTAAATTATTATATACTCACTATTCCTTCTAAAATAATGGCACTTTTATACGTTAATCATTTGTTTTATTTTCACAAATCATATCACGAGGATCTCATATAATGATATAAATCTCTTTAATTAAAAATTTAAAAAAAAAAAAAATCTCTAGTTTTTTATACGTACATACGACTAGGACCACTATTAAAAACATTGTGAAAAGGTATCTTTTAGGCTCACGAGTGTCTTCCTATGATTGGTCATATGTGTCTTGCATCACCACACGTGGCACCGATATAGCTTGTGTCACACTAGTGCGGTACTTCACTTGTATATCACCGACTTATTTTATTGTAAGGGTATTTTATGTGATTTTACTCACCTAATACATCAATTTTTCCTTTGATTAAGAACCCAAAAATATTGAGGAATTAATAAAATGGAGAATTGGTCCCACCATTCAGTGGTTTGTTTACCAAACCCTGCTTCAATTTAGCTGACTTTTGTTGCCTATTTGAGTCTGTTTATTGAATGAGTATAATGGCCATGTTTGGTAATTGACTTTTTAATGGCTTTTTGGTTAATTTTTGACTTTTGGCTTTTTTAGGTGGTCAAACAGTCAAAAATTGTGTTTGATAATTGACTTTTTAGTCGGCGAAAAAGCTGGCTTTTAAGCCAAAATGAAAAAGCTTCTTTGAGTAGCTTTTTTGTTGGCTTTTGGCTTGTTGGCCCACAAATTATCTAATAAACAGCCAACAACTACCAATTAATTTACCAAACACTTTTATAAACAGCCAGCTTAAACACCAATTTCAAAAGCCATTATAACAGCCAAACATTCCAGCTGGTCAAACAAGCCAAGTGAACCAGCCAACAGCCAACCGCCAACAATCATTTGCCAAACAAGGCCAATGCATGGTGAGTTAGTAGTACAATAATGTTGTTGCTTTATTATTTAGGGTTAATTTGATTCTTTGGTCATAGAGTTTTGGTTATCAATCTTTTGGTATGTACTTTAGGAAATAATTGAAGAGTTATGTATAGTATATGCATTGAATTGTGTCATTTATTCTCTTGACCATTAGTGTCTCATGAAATTATGCTTCGCTTATAATGTACTTTGTACTTTTATCGATCTTAAACTGGTGGTCAGTGTCATATTATCTAAATTTCGATGTTTCGTTTTCTAATACGGAGTAGTTATATTAATTTTAAAGTCTCTTAAATTGAGTAATGACGTGTAGAAATTAAATTATGAATTTGTATTATTTGATACTCCCTAATGTGTGATAATTGCGAAAAAGTACAAGTAATTATGTGAAAAGAGTTGTAGTATATTTGATTTCAAAGTTCCATATTATAAATGAAATTATGTTTCAATTTTGGATTTGGACATCGTCATAACCAACTCTTGATCATTGACTAAAAATACAAACTCGATTTTCAATTAGTTGATTTCATCTGAACTTACTTTCACTAAAATAAGTAAAAAAAAAAAAAAAAAAAATTAAATCCGAGCATAAATTGTGTACAATACGAGCTCAATGTTTGTTAAGACGTCGTGGGAAATAGAAAGGAAAAACAGGTCATGTTTAGTTGTAAAAAAGAAGCCGAGTCCCACAATATTGAAGGTCATAGCTCATGGAAATAAAATAAAACAGTTGTTCAGTTAAAAGGCTAAACAAGTCGTACCTACTTTTATTGAAGATCTTAATCAATTACTGGGTTTGAAGACTAGGAACCTTCTATCGCCTTCAGTAATTCCGACTTCTGTCGGTCAACCCAATTATTTTACCACAAATACACTTTACAGTCTTACCACTTCTTAATTAATGCCTAATTGCCTACTCCCCAAACCATCCACTTCTCTAGCCTTCTACTGTGTATTTAAAAAGGTTAACAAAGTACGTTGTAAATAATTTAAGGATTACATTTAAAAAGTTTGGGTTGTCTTCTCTCTAGACTAATTTAAAGTAACT